ATCTCTCCCCCCCCTCCTCTATTTGCCCCCACCATCTCTCTCTCCCCTCTCTTTCCCCCTCTCTCGCTCTTGCGCTCCCCTCCCCTCCTCTCTCTCCCTCCTCCCCCCCTCTCCTCTCCCCTCTCCCCCCTCTCTCCTCTCCCTCTCTCCCCTCTCTCCTCTCCCTCTCTCTCCCCCTCTCTCCTCTCCCTCTCTCCCCCTCTCTCCTCTCCCTCCCCTCTCCTCTCGCTCGCTCTCCCTCCCCTCCCTCTCGCTGGCTCTCCCCTCCCTCTCGCTCGCTCTCCCTCCCCTCCCTCTCGCTCGCTCCCTCCCTCTCGCTCGCTCTCCCTCCCCTCCCTCTCGCTCGCTCCCTCTCCCTCTCGCTCGCTCGCTCTCCCTCCCTCTCCCTCTCGCTCGCTCCCTCTCCCTCCCCTCCCTCTCGCTCGCTCCCTCTCCCTCTCGCTCGCTCGCTCTCCCTCCCCTCCCTCTCTCTCCTCGCTCTCTCCCCCCTCCCTCTCTCTCGCTCTCTCCCCCCTCCCTCTCTCTCCCCCCCCCCTCTCCCTCTCTCTCTCCCCCTCTCCCCCTCTCTCTCCCCCTCTCTCTCCCCCCCCCTCTCTCCCCCTCTCTCCCCCCCTCTCTCCCCCCTCTCTCTCCCCCCTCTCTCTCCCCCTCTCTCTCCCCCTCTCTCCCCCCTCTCTTCCCCCCCTCTCTCTCCCCGCTCTCTCTCCCCTCTCTTTCCTTTCTCTCCCCCCTCCCCTCTCCCCTCTCTCTCTCCCCCCTCTCTCTCCTCCCCCCTTCTCCCCCCCATCTCCCCACTTTCTCCTCCCCTCTGCCTCCTCCTCTCTACCTCCCTCCTTCTCTTTCCATCCCCTCTCTCCCCCATCTCTCTCCCCTCTCCCCCTCTCTGTGCATGTTAACATACAGGGACAATTTTAGTATTATTGGGGATTGCTGGAAATCTGAAGGCTGGATAAACTGATGGAGTTATTACTCACAAGTTTGTAATGCTTCTATTTAATCCCTTCCTGCCTAGCCCTAGCATCCCTTTAGGGGATTGTTTACATGAAATGTGGTCTCTGAAGAGCGATCTGCATTCAGATCACTCTTCAGAGAGCAGTTGGCAAGGCAGCAAGGAGATGAATAACCTCTTCACCTCCTGCTTTAACCCCTAGAACCCCACACTAGCGCACTGCAACCACGTGCATTGCACACAGTTGTGAGGTGCTTGCAGAGCAGTCTCATTCACTTTCATGGGTCACATTCAGCAGGCACTGTGCCTACAGAAAGCAACAGAGGATAGAATTTTTTTCACGCCCACAAAACATCACAGTGGCAGTATATGTACACCCCAACCCTTTGTTGCCAACCTTCCATAAATTTACAGACAGTTTGTATAAAACAGACACTATTCTCCTATTCGCAACTGTTCATGGACAGGAGAAAAGTGCCCGTAAAAATCCCTTTGTCATGGGCTCTGACTGCCAAACTCTGATGTAAGGGGACACTCTGCTGGACTCTGATGTAAGGGGGCACTCTGCCAAACTCTGATGTAAGGGGGCACTCTAGACTCTAAACTTTGCTAGACTCTGATGTAAGGGGGACTCTGCAGACTGTAATGTAAGGTGGTCTCACTCTGGGGGAAAAAAAAAACTGCTGACCCCTGCAATAAACTACCATACTGACCACTGTCCTCCACCCTGCTGACCACCCATCCTCTACCCTGTTGACCCCCTGTACACTGCCCTACAAACTATGGGTCCCCACCCTTTGCTCTGCTAATTCCTATCCTCTGCCCTGCGGACCCCCAGCACACTCCGCTACTGATTCCTGTTTTGTGCACTTCCCTGCTGTCCTCCTATCCTTTGCCCCTCTGACATTAACTGCACCCCCATATCAGACCGGCTAGATCCGGCCCTGGTTCCAGTACAGTTCTGTGCAGAAAAAATGCAGCATTTATCTGCAACCTGAATGCGCTGGAATTGCAAGCACTAATGTGAACTATGACATTGACAACAATATAAACCTGCTTTCTGTGCATTTTGGATATAGAAAAAAGCAACTGAAACATGTAGTGTGAATTAGCTCTTAGGGCTAGTTCACACTAGATGCAGCCCAGTGCGTTTTTTTTTCTGCATTAAAAATGCATGCACAGTGTTTTCCATGTATTCCAATGGCCCTGGTTCACACTAGTGCAGTCAATTCCAGTCAGTTTCCGGTACAGAAAAAAAATAGAAAATGCTGCAATTTTTCTGCACAGAACTGTACTGCAAAGCGGTAAACCACATCAAAAACTGCAGCGGAATTGAGTGTGGTGTGAACTGTAAGCAAAAATGTATCCGGAGTGCGTTTTTGTATTGTGAACTGGCCCTTATTTCTGCACTTGTGTGAACTAGGGCCATTGGAATACATGGAAAACAGTGTGCATGTATTTTTGATGCAGAAAAAAAAAAAACACTGGACTGCATCTAATGTGAACTAGCCCTTTAGGGCTGGTTCACACTATAGAAACACAGTCCAGATGTGTTCCAGATGCATTTCTGCATGCGTTTTTTGGCATGTTCCTGTGCATTTTTGATGCGTTTTTGAAGTGTTCCAGTGCATTTTTTATGCATTCCAGTTAATTTTTCCCCTCTCTTTTTCTTCAAGTTAAATCAGGATATGTGCATTCTAGTGTGCATTTTTTTTTATGCATTTTAGTGCGTTCCTGTGCATTTTGTATGCGTTTTACCACTCTCCAGTACATTTCTGTGCAGAAAAAATGCAGCATGTTCTACTTTTTTTTTTTTTTCTTTTTTTTTTTTTTTTTCCTGCAACCAGAATGCACTGGAACTGCAAGCACTGATGTGAACTATGAAATTGACAACCATATAACCTACTTTATGTGCATCTTGGGTGCAGAAAAAAAGCAACTGAAACGCATGTAGTGTGAACTGGCCCTTAAAGAATTTTGATTTGTACTCATCTTTTGCATCACTGAACTGATGTCACCAGCACTTCAGTAAGATTCTGGGGGGTGTGCAAAGCAGGTGAAATCTAAAGATAATGCAGTCAAGTACATTGCAAGAGTGGCTTCTTGCAGGATTTCATGCCCTACCCTTCTTCCATGCTGTCACTCCCCTGTCTAAGCAGCCACTACTCTGTAAGATAGAGTGTTCCGTTAATGCCTCGCTGTATGTACTGGTTTAATTCATATGTCAGTTACAGCAACCTGACCAGTAAAAAATGCATTTTTTTTAAAATTAATAACCTTTTAATCCCTTTTTAACCCCTAAGCACCAGTACGAGCTCTAGTCAACTTCTTCTCCCCTCAGATATTTTTTTTTTCTTTTTTAATTACTAATTTATTTATTTTTTTTTTACAATCAATATTTAAATATTTTTCATTGTTATTAATTTTGGGGTTTTTTTTTTGGGGGGGGGGGGGGGGGGGGTTGTGTCTCATTTAAAAAATGTGTGCAAAAAGCAAGAAACACATTTAAAATAAAATAACTTTGCAATCTAAAATAAATTGAATAACTCAAGTGCTAACTATAGTGAAATGAAAACAAAAAAAAATTACATTTAAATATTGTAGCCGCTAGTGCACACATCCCATGTCTCAGTGGGACAAATTATACAATCATAATGTGAAGTGAAAAAAATGCTGTGCTACATGAAACAATGGCACAATCCATTTATATAAACAAAAAACAAAGTGAAAAAATAAAAAAAATATATATTAGATCCCGATGAATGGCAACGTCGTGATGTCATTTACACACTTCTCCCCGATGCGTTTCATCACTAGTCACTTGACTGTATCAAGGGGATATTCCCTTGGTAAAGTCACGTTACTAGTGCCAAAACGTAGATGACATCACGACGTTGCCATTCATTGGGATAGCGGTTGTAGTACTCTACAAAAGGCTCCTGGAACTACATTACAGCAGGCAATAGCATTCATTAAGTGGGCCCGTGCTTTGCCTTGCATCACATTACGGATGGTGTCTGTTTTGAGCTCGTACAGGACTCTGCTGCTGAGATGATACACTGCCATCTTGTGTTTAAGCAGTATATCACTGGATCTTCATCATACCTGGTGCAAAATACACCTCCAGAACGTGAGTGTGTATTTCATATGTTTTAATTGATGAATAAAAGTTTAAAAGGATAAAGCACAATGTCGAATTCTTTTTAATGAGGAATACAGCTGATACAAAGATGCTTATCAGGAGGGAGCTTACTTTGGAGTCTTCATTCAGCAAACTGATCTTCTGAGTCCATATGGGACTTAAAGTGCAGTTAGACGGTAACATTGTATAATGTCAGGTCACACTGCGTGAGGTGAGCAGATATATGGTGGAGTATGTCTTTGCACAGGAATTGATGACAGATGCACATATTTTTCGTTATCCAAAGGAGGGTTCACTGAATGAACACTTTATTGATTGAACTTGATTTTTTTAATGACTTTTGTTTGATTCATACTTAAAAAATATTCTTTATTTTTTGTGTGGTTTTTGTTTTTTTTTTTATATATATAATTATATATTGATTGTTGCACTCAATATATATTGTTTCAATATTAAAATTTTTTTTCCAATATTTTATTTTTTAATATATTTTTTTATCTTTTCACTTTGTTTTGCGGTTATATAATGGATTGTGCCATTGTTTCATGTATCGCAGCATTTTTTTCACTTCAAAAAAATAACTTTGCAATGTTTTGTCCCAGAATCTCAATTTTTAGTGCAATTATAAACAGAACAAACTATAAAGTTAAATATTTACAGTAATATCATTAAAAAAAGAAAACGGATTGAATAGAATTATATTTTTTGTTGTTTTTTTTGTATATAGATTGCATAGAACATAAAATAAATTATGCAGGATAATATCACCAAAAGAAACTTTGTCTCCAAAAAAAAAAAAAAAAAAATATATACATTTCACTTTATTTTAAGTAATGACAGATGTATTAAATTATTTTTGTACATACACTACTGCCTATCTATGGTAGTAAAATACTGATTTTATTTTCCAGATATACAAAACCATTAACCTTTGCTGACTGTATTGGTGATGAGTTGCCACTTGGATGGGAAGAAGCCTATGACACGCAAGTTGGTGTATTCTACATTGACCATAACAGTCGTAAGTTTTTGTGTATTATTATGCCTAAAACTGTATATTAGTGTGCCCGTTCCCTAAATGAGTATTGCATAATGTGATTGATAATGTAAATTAATGTAAATAAGTAAACAAATTTGCCTTCAGAGGTATATGTTTCAACACTGTTGGAGTTGAGAATTCTACTCATGTAGGAAACGTTAATGTGTGGCACCTCTAAGGAGTAGTCTGTCTTTAGAAGTGTGTAATTGTTATTTGTTGCAATCATTTACAGGATTCTGGCAGCTTATTTGAATAGGTACATTGTATAGGTCAAATAAAATGGCAACGGGGCAGCCACTGATTTTATAAATGAGTTAAACGTGATAGAGGCTTATATCCTTTGAGAGTGATTTCTTTATTAAATATTGTGCGGGCATGTGCCATATTTCTTTCATTCACTGAATTGTATTGCCTTGCTGTGCATGTCACACTACCATATTTTTTGTGTTCTGTAAAAAGCATCCCAAAGTATGTATATGCCCTCTGTCTGACCTGAATGAGCATACAATAAGTCTAGGTTCACACCTAAGCATTTTGCGGTGCATTTTGCAGAAACTACAGTCCATTTAACAGGATTTCCTATGGGACACATTCACATCTGTGCGTTTTTTCACCTGGTGTGTTTTTTGAGACCTTTTTTAAATGCAAAATGTTGCATTTTTGGCTCAAAGGAGACGCTGCAGAAATGCATGTAGTGCATTTTTTTATGTGTTTTTTTGATACATTTTGCATTTTAATCTGCCCAGCAGCAAGTATGGGAAAAAAAAGCATCAAACACGTATGTGCAAAAACACAAAAAGCACTGCAGAACCGGATCAAACACAAACTGCATAGGTGTGAACCTAGCCTAAAGGAGGGGGGTAAATATTGTGTATAATATGTCAAAATTGAATATAGATTAGATATCAGTTAGGCAAAACTACGGTGTTTTGTGCTTTCAATTTATTAAATGAGCAGGGAATGGATAAAATCTGTCACAGTTTTTTTTTTTTTTTTTTTTTTTTTTTTTTAAGCGATCTGTGTTATGTTGGGAAGCTTTTCTCTCCTGTCTCAACAGAAAACAAGATCAAATCTTTCCAGAGTGAAAGAAGGTCAATGTGCACTGGTGTCCCCATTGGAAAGTATCCCCTCTTTTCTTAAAAGCTTGTAAAATTGTGGATTTTCCATAACTTTCTGCCACAGTTACAGTGGTTACCAAGACAAATGGAGTGACTCTTCCAAGCAGAAATACAGACAGTAATAATAAACTGAGACCGACGCCAAAATAAAGTTTTGGCCACAGATGCACTTGTAATGTATGTGTTATATTGTAAAGTGCTAAGCAAAACTGTTGGCGCTATATAAATCCTGTATAATAATAATGTGTAATGTCTTTGTAATCAGAGCAATTTTCTGCTTGAATCTTGTAGCTCTAATACCCTCAACAAAGCAAATCCCATTCAGTTTAATGTCCCCCATTCACATCTGAGTGTTTTTGTCACCTGTAGCAAAATGCCTGTTGCTCAAAAAAGTACATGAGCTTCTTTTAGACACATTGGAGGCAAATTGACCCATAGACTTCGATGGGAATGCCTGAAAAACACACAATATGAGCATTTTATGAGTGTTTTGTTGCATGTTTTCTGGCAAAACAGCAGCTCTCCACTCCTAATGTACTCCCCCTGGTGCTTTTTATTGGCTAAAATAAAAACACCTGAAGCTTGAATGCACATGTAAAACTGTTGTAATACATTTCTAAAACACTCATCATATGCTTGCAAAACTCTCAAATAAAAAACACCTGAAAATGGCTGTGCTCAGGTGTGAATGCAGCATAATCGGAAGCTGCTTATGACCCGGAAGAACCTGAAGAAAATAAACACCAAAGAATATTCTTAAGCATTACAGCCATTACTGTCAGAAACAGTTGTCTTCAACCCACCCCCAAAAAACAAACATTAAATATGCCACTGCATCACAATGAATGTGTGTTTGCATGTTGTAAAAATAAAACCAGAATTCCAAAACCCATAATGGCAATTGCAGTATTTTCAGAACATTCGGATACGGTATCCATGACTATTTCAAAAATTCATCACGAAAGATCCATTGATGGGGGGGGATAACAAATATGGCACTGAAAGGTGTGGCTACAGGGTCACACGTACATTACATCACTTCCACAGCTACGCTGCGACGCTCATACGCAATGCCTTTATCGTACAATATTTTTCTCATGCATAAAAGCACATCGCTTTCGACCTGCTGCGTACAATCGATGATAATCGGATTGATCGTTCGTCCGATCTTTTTATAGTGTGCACAGGGCATTACTCCTATTACTATCATTGATGTAGAGTGCTGTAACTTGGGTTTAAAGTCAAGCAGTAGCACAGGTGTGACCTGTACACCATCCATCTCTTCAGACAAACATATCCCAGTCATGACCAAAAACTGCTGTTAGATGGGAAATGTACATAACGTACATAAAATGCATGTGTGTTTAGATCACGATTTTTCAGCAGTGAAATGTTTTTAAAGCTGTTATTTCAACAATGGGTGAAGATTGACTTTTTTTTTTTTTTTTTTTAAGGAAAATGGTTGGTCATATAATAAGGTAGTTTCATGTACACATTTTGTGGGTTTTTGTGCTTAGTGGTGTGAAATGATTTAGATAGCAATTTTATATAGGAATTTGGATAGTTATATCTCTATCTTCAACAAGCTTGATTACTATCATCCTTGTTATTACGGCTTGAAAGAATAGTACATGGATGATGACAAGGGAGGTATTGGGTCCATCCTCTTCTTATACAGAAAGAGTCCAGTGGCCATTATTGGATGTTGTATGAGGATTTAAAGTGACTTGTGAAAAGTAAATGTTATTACAGTTATTTTATTTTTGTAATTTTAAATGCTTGTAAAACCTCTTTTTAAAGTAGAAATCCAGCCTAAACCTAGCTATACTAAAAAATGTCCCCTCCCCACTCCTAACGCCTATGCTGAATAACCTGTGTGTAAAAAAAAAAAAAAAAAAATGTATATACTTGCCTATTTTCAGCCCATTCCAGTCTGATCACTTGATATTCTGTGTCAGCTAGTGGTGGCTGGAGGGGAGAGGTGAGAGCATTTGACAATGGCTGGGATATCTGGAAGTAGTGATGTCACCCATAGGCTCTCGTGTCCCACCTGTTGTCAGTGCTCCATCCTTTCTCCTGCAGCCACTGCTAGCTGACACAACGGAGCGAGATAATGTGACCATACCAAAGCAGGCTGAAAATAAGTAAGTATATATATGAATCGTTTTTTTTTTTCTTAGGTTATTCAGCATAGGTGTTAGGAGTTGGGAAAGAGAATGTTTAAGACTAGTTTGGATTAGGATGGAATTATACTTTAATTCAAATAAGAAATCCAGGTTTGAATAAGTTATACATAGTTACATTGGTCTAGCTTGGAAAATGACCTTTGGACTCTGAACTGCATTTTGGCTCTTTCTAGAACGTTATGTACTGTGTTAACTAGCTGTAGAGCTCTCTGCAGGTCTATATCTGTTGCACAGCCTGTGTTGTGACCCAGTGTCCGAGGACTAAAATATTGAGTAAGACTAGCTGCCCTGAAGCACTAGAAATACCTGACAGTTTGTAGTAGTGACTATAGCACTGAGAGAACTGAGTGTTGACATCCATTACTAGGTGGAGTTTTGTGCACATGGGCTCAATGTTTTCTCCCATCATTCAGGCCTAGAGGAAAAATCTACTTACTGGTGGTGTTCTTCTTAAGTGCTCCATAGACCACTGGTCCCTAGTTCTGTTCCACTATCCTCGTACAATGACTTTGTCACCTCCATCCACCTGCAACCCTCATCAGCACCAGCTGTATGTCTTTTCAAAGAGGCACAGAAGACAATCTCACTGGGGTGACCTCAGCCCATACGCCACCATTGTTGACAGGTGTGACTTCTTGGTATTCTAGAAGAGAAAAAAGAGGAATCTACCAATCTCATAGGACAAATCCCAGGGTGAAGAGGAGACCATGAACACGGGACTTTCAGGTGTGCCAGAATAGGAAAAATTTCACATCAATAAAATCACAAAGCTTTATTACAATAGTTAAAACACCTTGTTAAAAGGATTCTATATTTGACCACGTCATAAGCCATATCCAAAATGTTTTCAGGAACATATAATCAACGGTTTGGTAAAAAAATAAGGGATTTATGTATTTCACATGACACTTCCTCAGGATCCACGCTCATACATGAGAAGTCGAAATGGTTGAACAAACATAATTATAAACATAATAAAAACAATCATATAATTCTACAATGTACAATACAAAACATGTTGCCTACATCTGTAATAGAGTGGTGGAGAGGAAAGGGGGAAAAAAAAAACCCCACCCACATCAACCACCCAAGGAAACCCCCGTTTTAATTGGCTTAATGTGAGCAGCTCAATCCACTCTTTTTGTTCTGACTTCTCAGTGTTCCCAGGAGAGAGAGATGCCTGCAACATGAACCCTGGTCCCCACATTATTGTGGGTTTGTGTTCATTCGAGTCCGTGTCTGTGTATAAATAGTCAGTGAGTTTGTTAGCTCTCACGTGGATACACTAAGCAGGCTAGATACTGAGCCATGGGGAGCAGAAAGAACTATCAAAATACCTGCATAACATGGCAATGGAGTTTTATAAAAATGGAAATGGATATAAAAAAATATCCAAAGCCTATGGGAAATAAAACTTTAATTGCCATTTTAACCTGTGTGTGGCACCTTGTCCATCTGTGCAAAGGCCAAACATCCCAGGGTATGTAAACTTTTGATCATGGCTATTTGGGTTATTTCTGTTATCAATATGATTTTAAAAAGGAGCCAAAAAAAACATGTAATAATAAATTACTTCATATGATCACAGTATTTAAATATAAAAGACAGTTTTTTGGCATTATCAGTCTTTTGCAATATAAATGCCAAAATGTCATGATTTCTGCAGGGGTATGCAAACTTTTGAGCACAACTGTACTATGCAATTGGAGGATAAGTCTACTGTTCTAGGCATAAAGTCTTTTAGAGCTGTTGCTACAAAGACATTCCCAATGCAATCAGTATATAAAACCTTCCTCTGTTAGAACTGAAAACAACCTGTGCAATTGTGGCTTCCTCCTGAAGGAGCTTTTTCCCTTTTGAAAGATAATTTATTGATTTGTCTGAAGCGCGCTATAGATGATAGTCTTCGACCATAATGTGGGACTAAAGTCCACAATACTTGCCTCTGTTCCAATGGCCTTGTGCCCACAGGATCCCTTTCCAGCACTGGCAAGTGTTTAAATGCCCACTTCCATTCTTTTAAAAGCTACTGTCAAATAGTGACAATGCAAGAACAACATTGAGGGATTGGTGTCAGGGCATTCTCACTCTATATAAAAAGATCCTAAACAAGAACCTTTATGGCAGGATCACCAGTTGTTGTTTTAATAAAAGCTGCAGATTTAAAAAATGTCAAAACTTACGGTGAAATTTTTTTTTTACCATATATGAATATATACAGTACTTATATACTTTTAAAATGCATTTTTGCTGCCCGGAAAATTAAGAGCAGATGTATTACTTACAATTACATATTTGGTTTTGTTGTGTTTGTTTTTTTTTTTTACCAGATTAGACTTCCAACAAAATTTGTATTGCTCCTTCTATGTCTTGGTGCAGCATGAAAAAAGAGGTGGTACTTCTGAATTGCTAGTAGAATAGCATCTGTGGGAAATAGTGCTTCGTTCAGATCTGTATCTTATCGTATGTAAAAGAAGTCCTTCTGTGCAGTGAAAGAGAGTAAAATTACAATGCTTTCCATCATTAATATGAATATGTCATGTGATGTTTAATGGGGTCAAATTCACTAAGCTGCTTCAGTTTATCAAATTGTGTTAATTTTATGATAATTTTCCTATTAAAATGGTCAGTTATGAAACATACATTTTGCTTCGCTCTATGATTTAAATTTATTTAACCATTGCAAGCCTTTATTTCTTATGAATCATAAGTCAATATTATTACCAGCCAGAATATTACTGTATTCTGTACAAAGTGTAACCCCAACCCAAACTGCTTTTTTTCCAGGCTAGAATGCAGGAGAGCTAGAATCTCTGATTTATATTACTGCCTTTGTTCTATTATTTTCATAGATGGTTTCACTACCACAAAACTCCTACATCCATTAGATGGCTCTATCTGGGAGAGTCTACAGTATTTAATATCCAGGGTGTTTACTCATTTCTTGCAGAAACCACACAGATAGAGGATCCTCGAGTGCAATGGAGAAGACAACAGGAGTGCATGTTAAAAGACTACCTAGTGCTTGCTCAGGAAGCTCTAGATGCTCAAAAAGAGATTTACCAAGTCAAACAGCAAAGGCTTGAACTAGCCCAGCAGGAATACAGGCAGCTTCACGATGTTTGGAAACATAAGCTTGGATCTCAGCCAAGTTGTAAGTATTGAGCACAAAAATTAAAGTCATTGATCCATTTGATCACTGTGTTCCTACTAAATCCCGAGCACTCACCCACTTAAAGAGGTTCTAAAGGTACAAGGTTTTTTTTTACCTTAATGCATTATCTGTATTAAGGTAAAAAAGACCTGCATGCAGTCCCCCTATATACTTACCTGAGCCCAATCTCAATCCAGTGATGTGCACAAGAGAAGTGGCTCTTGCCTTTCTCTCTTCTCACTGGACAGAGAGGTAGGAGCCATTGTCTCCTGCTGCTGTCAGTCACAGCCAGTGAGGAGAGGCCGAGCCAATGGACAAACAGACTTGACTTGAGAGCGAGCACAGAACTCTTGTTCCCTGAGCAGTACTATCATTTGGAGCAGTGTTTAGAGTAGATTGCTAGAGAGTTGGGTCACTGCTTTGTGTGAGAGCCCTGTGGTCCAACTATGGGTTTTTATCCTTGCTTTTAGCACTTAGCAGTTAGAAAAAAAAGTATGTGCAGTCTGACTGCATTACAGTAATAAAAAAGTGCTTTATTTGTGCTTTTATATACATTCTAACAGTGACATTATGAGTTTATCATTTTTAAAGAAGTACTGGCTGTTAAATATTTTGCTTGAAATAATTGTATTACAACTCTTTGTCCATATTTTTTTTTTCAGATTTTAGTACCATGTCTGAAAATACACTGAAATGCAATTTTATCCTTTTTTTTAATAGTCTGCATTTTCATCTTCATTACAAAACATCCAGGCACTGAGATTAATTAGTTACAGTTTGAAGGAGCATTGCAGTCAAAACATTTTCACAAATATCTGTACAAACCCCCATGCTACGCTATATATATCACAGTAAAAATGCGCGCTTTGAAAATGTTAGAAATAAACGTTTTATAAATGATAAATTCATCTTTCATTCATTGCAAAACGTATAATTTCTCATTTGTAATTAAGTGGAACTACCCCATACAGTTAAATATTTTTATGCACCTGAAATTATTTTTGGATTTCTCACTTTTTATTTTAGTGGCCTCAAGTTCCTCTTCTAATTCAAAATATGATCCTGAAATTCTGAAAGCTGAAATTGCTACTGCAAAGTCCAGGGTATGTCCATATCATTTTTTTTTAAATTTGTGACTTATTCAAACTGATAAAGGTGAAGTGCGGGATTGCAAAAAAAAAAAGTTGTACATACTGTCATACTGTGTTTGTGTAGCATTGGTCCAATGCTGCAGCTGTCCCCCACCAGCTCTAAAGCCAAGAGCTGAGCTATCATGTTTATCACATACAGTCAGGTCCAGAAATATTGGGACATCAACACAATTCTAACATTTTTGGCTCTATACACCACCACAATAGATTTGAAATGAAACAAACAAGATGTGCTTTAACTGCAGACTGTCAGCTTTAATTTGAGGGTATTTACATCCAAATCGGGTGAACGGTATAGGGAATTACAACAGTTTGCTTATGGCTTCCCACTTGTTAAGGGACCAAAAGTAATGGGACAGAATAATAATCATAAATCAAACTTTCACTTTTTAATACTTGGTTGCAAATCCTTTGCAGTCAATTACATCCTGAAGTCTGGAACGCATAGACATCACCAGACGCTGGGTTTCATCCCTGGTGATGCTCTGCCAGGCCTCTACTGCAACTGTCTTCAGTTCCTGCTTGTTCTTGGGGCATTTTCCCTTCAGTTTTGTCTTCAGCACCTGAAATGCATGCTCAGTCGGATTCAGGTCAGGTGATTGACTTGGTCATTGCATAAAATTCCACTTCTTTCCCTTAAAAAAAAAACTCTTTGGTTGCTTTTGCAGTATGCTTTGGGTCATTGTCCATCTGCACTGTGAAGCGGCGTCCAATGAGTTCTGAAGCATTTGGCTGAATATGAGCAGATAATATTGCCCGAAACACTTCAGAATTCATCCTGCTGCTTTTGTCAGCAGTCACATCATCAATAAATACAAGAGAACCAGTTCCATTGGCAGCCATACATGCCCACGCCATGACACTACCACCACCATGCTTCACTGATGAGGTGGTATGCTTAAGATCAAGAGCAGTTCCTTTCCTTCTGCATACTCTTCTCTTCCCATCACTCTGGTACAAGTTGATCTTGGTCTCATCTATCCATAGTATGTTGTTCCAGAACTGTGAAGGCTTTTTTAGATGTCGTATGGCAAACTCTAATCTGGCCTTCCTGTTTTTGAGGCTTACCAATGGTTTACATCTTGTGGTGAACCCTCTGTATTCACTCTGGAAGTCTTCTCTTGATTGTTGACTTTGACACACATACACCTACCTCCTGGAGAGTGTTCTTGATCTGGCCAATTGTTGTGAAGGGTGTTTTCTTCACCAGGGAAAGAATTCTTCGGTCATCCACTACAGTTGTTTTCCATGGTCTTCCGGGTCTTTTGGTGTTGCTGAGCTCACCGGTGCGTTCCTTCTTTTTAAGAATGTTCCAAACAGTTGTTTTGGCCACGCCTAATGTTTTTGCTATCTCTCTGAGGGGTTTGTTTTGTTTTTTCAGCCTAACGATGGCTTGCTTCACTGATAGTGACAGCTCTTTGGATCGCATCTTGAGAGTTGACAGCAACAGATTCCAAATGCAAATGGCAAACTTGAAATGAACTCTGGACCTTTTATCTGCTCATTGTAATTGGGATAATGAGGGAATAACACACACCTAGCCATGGAACAGCTGAGAAGCCAATTGTCCCATTACTTTTGGTCCCTTAACAAGTGGTAGGCACATATGCAAACTGTTGTAATTCCTACACCGTTCACCTGATTTGGATGTAAGTACCCTCAAATTAAAGCTGACAGTCTACCGTTAAAGCACATCTTGTTCATTTAATTTCAAATCCATTGTGGTGGTGTATAGAGCCAAAAATGTTTGTTAGGATTGTGTCGATGTCCCAATATTTATGGACCTGACTGTAGGTCTATGTGATATAACATGACCACTGATCACTTAGTTCTCAGTCTTCACTGAGAGCTCGGTCTGCTTCACCCCTCCAGCGTTCACTGGAAAACCGAGCTACGGAGGGATGGGAACGGCTGACTTGGGCTCTTGGCAGTGTGCTGAGAGGCTGAGCCAGCTGCCAGTCAGGGATCTGGGTGGATCCCCAACATTATGTTCAGGATACATCCAGAGACTGGAGTGGATCTTTCACAACACTAGAGGCTGAATCTCTATCACAGAAGTTCACTCCAGTGACCTGAAAGAGAGGAATGGCCTAAAAAGCTTTGGTCATACTACTTTTTAATTTAAAATGACATGTACTGTATGTTAAAAGTATGGTTAATTTGCATTAAGGATAATTTTTAAGTATGTTTTTGTTCAGTTTAATTGGTCAGTCAAGTTTAGGGAAGTATTTTAATTTCTTTTTTCGTATTTTAAATTGATTTGATTACCTGAACTGAACAAAATCCAATATAAAAGTTACACTCTCAATACAGCTCTTAATATATGGCGATCTGTTTAGGATCTGTTTCCAAAATTCTTGAGGCACAAGCTGTAATAATAGCCTGATTGTAGTCTCATCCCTTTGTTATTTTACGTATGTATTTTGTTGCAGTTTGTGTCCCAATTAAAGATTTATCCTTTCATTTCCTGTCACAACAGGAAATGAGGGGAAATCTCTCCAATAGGGTTACTGCAATCTCTTCTCCACTCTAGCCAAAACTAAAAGAAGAAACTTGCCTGGGGTTGACCTTTAAAGATCCCTTTAAACAAACAAATATATGTTAAAAAGCTGGTTAGAAATACATTTAAGAACCTATATATAAAAGCTTTATATAATAATGTTTTATGTAAAATTTCAATTGAATTGTCTGCTTTCAAATTTAGTAACATCTGGCCCTTTGAATATTTTTGTTAAAAGCCTAGCTTTTAAAAAAAAAAAAAAAAAAAATGATAAAAGTTTTTTTTGGTTTTTTTGGGGTTTTTTTTGATACTATGTACTTTTATATAGCAAAATCGGTTTTATAATGGATTTTGTTTTTATACTTAACCAGGTAAAAATTATTTTTATGTGCAGTGAAAAAGGTGATCTCTTCTCATTTTTGCTCTCAATGCTATGCCAGTCTGTTGATAGAATTCTAAGTTAAATTTTTGCTGGACAGTCTATAGTAGTGTAAGCTTAAATAACATTTTACTGTGGCAATGCAAAGGTAGGCATTATTTTACATGTATGCCATTATCATCTTAAACACTAAATAAATAGTCTTCCTGATGTTCCGTAACTGTAAAATGGGAACAAAAACCGTTTTTTCACGTGTTTCTTTTGTGCAATAGAAAATATGCTTAACTTCCACAGATCTCTCCATAAAATACCAGTATGTTGTTTTTGACTAATGAATAAGGTAAACCGTTGTTGACAGTTTCTAACATCCCCAAATGCAGGTTAACAAACTGAAGAGAGAAGTAGCCTATATGCAGCAGGAACTACAATACAAGGAAAATGGCTACCAAACACTTCGACAGTAAGTTGTCAGCTTTATGTTTCACTTTCACTTAAAGAGGTAGTAAACTCCGCTTTATGACTTGTACCTAAAAGTAATGCTTACCTGTAGGTATAGTGAATACCAGTGTTAAGGAGATATTTACATTTGTAGCAGCCGGTGACATCACTGATTGCATGTGCACTGCTCTCTAAATGGATGGAACACTGGAGTATGCCGTCCATTGAAAGCGCTCTGCCATGAACTTGACTCCCACACACATGCACTGGTGTTACATCGTCGCTGCCTGGCCATTCAAAGGGCCAGAGAGCGCGAACCTGAAAAGAAGACTGAGTGAAGATGGAAGTGGTGACAGCTTGCAGTTTGAAGGCTTTGTTTTAAGGCAAGTCTGTCATAATGTGCTAGTATGTAATGTATACTAACATATTATGACTTAAACCATAGGTGGCCCGGGGATCCGTGGGCGGAGCCTAAACATGGCGGCGACGGAGAGCACGATGTGAGTGCTCTCTGATAACCTCCAAGCTGACCATCCCGAGACCCTCATGGTGTGAAGCCCTACCTGATTGAGGGGGTCTCCAAGGGGGAGAGGCTGGCGCGGTGAAGGGAGAGGAGAGCGGGCACGGACCTCGGGAGGTGAACACGCTGCGGAGATCCCAGTGCAGCTGTCGGGTTGCCGGGGAAACGAAGCAGGGCGGTGTGAGCACGCTGCTCGCGCAAAGGATTACTGGGAAGCAGAGAGACGCCGGCCGGTTCCCTGACAGGGCTGCAGTGACACGACGGCTCCCCCGGCGCTACCTGAGTGGAAATCCGTGCGGCTGAGAGGAGAAGTGACGCTGTAGGAGTAAGGGGCCAGCTGCGGAGGACCCTTGAGGGAAAGAGGATGCTGGTTGGTGCCCTGATGTGACAGGGTGCTGCCCCGGCTCATAGCTGCCTGTACCCCCTGGCCGGCTGTTCGATCCTGGGGTCAGGGAGACCCATAAATATCTGTAGATCCATTCTTCTCCCTGTGACGATTCCTAAGGAGAGGGAAAGGAGAGAGAAAGGAGGAGAAAAGGAAAGAAAGAAATACAGTATCGGAAACCCAGAGGAATCCCCCCCAGGACTGAGCAGCAGTGAAGGCCCTCCACACAAGTCTGGAGTCACCGTCCTGAGAAGGGAAGGGTGAGTGAAAGCTGCTGGGGGCTTATTGTGTTGTGGACCCCTGAGTGACATAGGCGGGGAGGACTCCCAGGGGTTAGAAGAGAAGAAGAGAGGAGGCCCAGGTGTCCTAGGAGAGTAAAAGATATAGGAAAAATTGCAAGTCTATCAAGATATATAGAGGACATGAAGAACAAAGGTCCCAAGGGAGCAGGGCCCAAAGGGTCCCAAACAGGAACAATAAAGAAATTTACATCATATGGAAATACTACGCCAGAAAGGGCCCAAGCCGTAACTGCAAAGGGGGAAATGGACACTAGTTCAGGAAATAGTCCTAGATTATCATTGGGCATGAATAGCAGCAGCAGCCAACAAATAGTGGATGGCTTGGGAAAAAAAGAATCTGACAGTGAACTACAAGTACCAAATAAGAAGGAGATGATAGAAATGTTTCAAAATTTGGAAAAAAACGATAAAACATGAAATGACAGCTATTCGAAATGATTTAGGACATCTGCTATCAAGAATGGAAGAAACGGAGGAGAAAGTTAAAACCCAGGCCCAGAATATAGATAACCTAAGGGAAAAAATAAGCCAATTAGATAAAAATAACCAGAAAAAAATGATCTATAGGATGGAAGTTCAAGAAAATAAAGAAAGAAGGTGTAATCTTAGATTACGAGGAATCCCAGAGACTGCAAAAGGGGGAAATACTATATGAACTAGTTAAAAAAATCTTAAACTCCATAAGAGACAGACCTGAAACAGACGGGATCAAGTTAGACGGAGTGTGTTTAGAATAGGAAAGTTCAAACAGGCTATTGAGAAGGAAAGACCGAGGGACATAATTGTCCAGTTCCAAAATTTTGGGGGTCAAAGATGAGATTTGGAAGAAGACCAAGGAAGATCATTAATTAAGTTTGGAGACTTGACTATCCAAATCTATGCGGACTTAACAGTAGAGACCCTAAGGAGAAGGAGATCCCTGAAACCCCTGTTGGAGCAAATGAGAAAAACAGAATGTGCAGTATAGATGGGGTACCTCAGCATCTCTAATTGGCTGGAAAAATGGGGTCACAGCGTATTTGAGATTTCCGGAGGAATTAAGAGATTTTTGTGATAGACTGGACTTGCAAAGAATGGAGATAGCTGGGTGGGAAGAAGAAAAAGAAGACAAAGGAAATACAAATTATACAAGAAAAGAGGACTGGCAGCATGTCGGGGGGAGGGGGAGGGAGGCCCGGGGTTGGGAGGGAAGGGAGGGAGAATTAAGTAGAAAATGATTTTTTTTTTTCTCTCACTTCCCTCTCTTCGCCCCTGGTCTTCCCCCCTCCGGGTGTTGAGACCCGCTTGGAGGCCCCAGTTAAGGGAGGGAGGTAAAGAGTAAAGACTCTCACTGAGTTTAGACGATAGAGAGAGGGAATCGGGGGGTCGGAGGAGAGGTGAGCCGTACATAGGCAGAGCTTACGCCCCAAGTTTTAAATCAATGGTGGAAATAGATCCACAAATGATTTGTAGGCAGTTTATATGCCTAAAAATGGGTAGGGGAAAAAGAAGAGAGGGTGAGAGGGGTGGGGAGTGGGGTTGGGAGAGGGGGGGTTGGTGGGAGGGAGTGTGGGGTGGGGAGGATGGGTTAATAAGCTGCAAGATAGTAGGGCCTAATAGGAGGATGAGCATTAGAAGAGAGATAGACAGAATTAAGAAGGATGGAAGAAATACAGTTTATAACATATAATGTGAATGGGTTGAACTGTCCCGGGAAAAGATTTAAGCTGTTTAAAGAGTTACATCATAGGGCAACGTCAGTGGTATTTTTACAGGAAACACATTTTGAGATAGAGTCAAATGTGAAATTAAAATCAAAATATTATCCAACATGGTATTACGCTGACATCTCCAATTAAAAGAGCAAAAGGGGTGGCAATAGGGTTGGCAAAGAATATGAGATTTGAGCTGGAGGATAGAATGACCGATCCGGAGGGGAGATTCCTGTTTTTGAGAGGTAAATTACAGGGAATCGAGTGTACGTTGGCCAATATATACTGCCCCAACAAAAAGCCGGAGATCTATTTGAAGGGTCTGTTGAAAAAATTGATAGACTTCAAAAAAGGGCGTTTGATAGTAGCAGGAGATTTAAATCTTTGTATGGACCCACAAAAGGATACAACCTCCCCTGTGCAGAGAGAAGGCGGTAGGTCTCTGAGAGCTTTGAAAAAAGCAATCCACGAGTACCAACTGGTGGACACTTGGAGAATAATGCATATGAAAGACAGAGACTATACCTTCTTCTCTAAAGCACATGAGATATACTCGAGACTGGATTATATCTTAATAGATCATCAACTCATAGAACTATTGGTTTAAAATAGATATAGAGATGAGTACATTCTCGGATCATGCCCCTGTCATAATGAAAATGGGATGGGGAAGACGGTGGATGGGAGGCCTAGGATGGAGGTTAAATGAGGCCCTTCTCTTGGATGAGGATATAGCTCAGAGGATTGGGGAAGAGATCAAAGTATATTTCAAGGAGAATGAGACAGAGGAAGTATCGACAGCCACAGTATGGGAAAGCCATAAGGTATATATAAGGGGAATCCTGATTGCGTTGGGAGCAAGGAAGAAAAGAGAAAGAAGAGAGAGGGTTAGTGGGCTCTTAAAAGAAATTCTGGAGTTGGAGCAGATACAAAAGAAGAAAATAACAAGAGAATCAAGACAGAAGTTAATGGATAAAAAAGATGAATTAGAGAGATTGTTGGATGAGGAGAAGAGAAGAGTCTATAATAAAGTATTAAGTGAAAGATATAGATGGGGAGACAGACAAGGAAAATACTTAATGAGAGCTCTGAATAAAAAGAAAAATAGAAACTATATAGAAAAGATAAAAAATCCTAAGGGGGAGTTGGTTCACTCAACTAAAGAGATTATCAAAGTGTTCACGGAGTACTATAGAAAGTTATATAATATTACCCCCCAAGGCCCTCCAAAAGAAAATGGAGAGGATATTAATAAAAAAAGGATGATATATTTAAAAAATGCAGGATTACCAAAGTTAAGTGAAGATCAATTGAACTCCTTGGATGCGGAAATTTCCCAGGATGAAATAAAAGCAGCATTAAGAAGTACAGGGGGTGGGAAAAGTCCAGGACCGGATGGGTATACAGTAAAGTACTATAAAAAATATAGTGAAATATTGTTACCTAAGCTGAAGAAGTATATGAACGATCTGGGAGGAGGGATGGAGGGGAGAAGAGAATCTCTTCAGGCCCATGTTGTACTTATTCACAAAGAGGGAAAAGATCCTTCTCAGTGTTCCAGCTATAGACCAATATCTTTATTGAACACCGATACTAAGTTGTATGCAAAGGTTCTAGCAAATAGGCTGAAAGATCTAATGCCTGAATGGATTCATGGAGATCAGGTGGGCTTTGTCCCAGGAAGAGAGGGGTAGAGATAACGGGTTGAGAACTTTGATGCTTATTCAGAAAAGTAGAAAAGGGAAAGCCCCGGTGGTACTATTGTCGATTGATGCCGAAAAGGCGTTCGATAGAGTGGATTGGGGCTTCATGATGGACAACTTAGAAGTTTTGGGGATTGGAGAGAGAATGCGGGAGTGGATAGGTAAATTTATATAGGGAGCCCACCGCAATTATTACGGTAAATGGGGAGAGGTCGGAATCCATTGGGATGTCCAATGGAACAAGACAGGGCTGCCCACTGTCCCCCCTGTTGTATGTTTTGTCATTGGAACCCCTGTTGTCAATGATAAGGAATAGTGGAGCGGTAAAGGGAATCCAGATAGAAAACATAGAACATAAAGTAGCGGCCTTTGCGGATGACCTATTGTTTCATGTAGGCAACCCCCGAATAACACTACCAAA